GAGAATAATAATAATAATAATTATTATTATAATAATTATTATTATTATTACTCATCTCTTTATACTCCAAATCACTTAGGTTTCTATCGTTCAATTCTTTGTATGACTCAAACACCCACACAATCTGTTCATTCGTTCGTTCGTTCATTCATTCACTTTTTTTATTCATTCATTCACTCATTCATCTTTTCGTTTGTTCGTTTTCTTGAAACGTTCAATTGTTTTGTTCATCCATTCGTTCGTTTGTTCGTTTAATTTATTGGTTCTTTCGTTTGTTTCTTTGGCCGTTCATTCATTTCTTCTTTCGTTTATTCTTTCATTGATTCATTCATAGATTAATTCATTGTTATGTTCATTTGTTCACCCGTTCATCCGATAATTTTCCATTTCATAAATTCATCGTAAGCAATTAAGACCGTAAATATCAATAAACACTTAAAGGAACAATTATACACACACATACATACACATACATACACACACATACACAAGCATACATACACATAAACATTCAAACGAACAAACAAACAAACAAACAAACGAACACACATACATACATACATACTTAAAATTCATTCGCGGCTAAACCATATCACCATATTAAGTGAACTCAATGTTAAACTTATTTAAATGCATGTGGGCTAATGTATGTATCTATATACATTAGCCACACACACACACACACGCACACACACACACATATATACTTATAGAAATATATATAAGTTGCACTTATCAACTCAACTCAAGTGTTTACGTGTAATAGTATATATATATATATTTATAAATATATATAGAAATAAAGAGAGAGAGAAAGAAAGAAAGAAAGAAAAAGATAGAATGTAAGAAAGAGAGAGAGAGAGAGAAAGAGAGAGAGAGAGAGAAAAAGAGAGAGTTTAGTAGTATATAAGTTTAATATATGAAGTGATTGTGTTCGTTTAACAGCTTAAATTGTAGGCTCATTTCGTTAACATTTTTAAATAATAATAATAATATTATTATTTTTATTTAAAATATAATAATAATAAAAATATTATTATTATTATAATTATTATTATTAACGCCATAATTAGTTGTTTGTTACCAGCTGAAATATGAGAAGAAAATAAAAGGTACATTATATAGATGAAGACGGCCAGACGGGAAGACAATTTTTTTTATTAATATTTACTTTATTTGCCGGTTATTATTATTTATATTATTTGTCGTCGTCGTCATCATCATCATCGTCGTCATCATCATCGTCGTCATCATCATCATCGTCGTCATCATCATTAACATCGTATTTAAAAGTAAAATCGTTGTTTTCATCATTGTCAGTATAGTCATAATGTTGATAATATTAATAATAATAGTAATTATAATAATAATAATCATCATCATCATCCAGATAATCAGCAGCAGCATCACCATCATCATCATCATCATTGTTAACATAGACACAAAATCAGATGTATACATTTAGCAGCTTCTATTTATTAAGAGAAGCGTA